GAGAGAGAGAGAGAGCCCAGTCAGGAGGCGGCCGTAATTAACCGTAATTAACGGGGATTCAATCTGCTCGTATCTTCGTCCGGACTGTTTTATCGTCTCGAGCGTATCGACGGAATTAAAGATGCCCCGTCGAGATTTATACCGGTTGCTCTTCTGTGACCCTACCTCGCGCATGGGCTTCCGTTCGCGTTAACTTCGCTGAAATTGATGGGAAGCAACGCGTAACGCGCGCGCATGCTGCTCTTTTGCTTCGTAGAATCTCCATGCGGTAAATTAGAAATCGCGGGGGTTGACTGATGAACGATGCGCAATTTGTAATCCACGCGCATTTTAAGATAGCACGGGAGGAAAACGCAGATTTCAAAATTTTAATACGCAGAAAAAAATCTGTTCTATATAATTAACATTTATTTTTAAAAATGTATTATGCTTTATAATTACATTTTTACAAATCTTTTTGAAAATGTCTAATACACACAAGTTTTTTTAGATCACAGTATAATAAACACAAAGTATTTTAAGATTTTCATCATCGATAGACGGGATGTGAAAAAGAGCTGTATTTGCCACGTGCATGAGAGATGACAAGTGTTCTCGTGTTCCATATCCTGCTTGAATCAACCCTTGTCAGTGATGAAGGGTAATCCAGGGTATAGCACCCTCGATGTTTCCATGATCCTTTTTCAAACTTTAAGTGCATTGTCATTGATGATTGCCAGTAGTGTGTCCTATAAAAATACAATAAAACGTTTATCTTTCTTTAATTGAAATTTTTTATGTGATATACAAAAAAATTTTTAAAACAATTATATACATTTATATAAGTAGTTTCTTTACTAATTTTTTTCATAGAGCAGAAATTTAAACTTGCCTTGAAAAAAATAATTGATACAAAATTACATCTTATACTCTTTTACATCATATCGAGTCTATTTGGAATCTAAAATAAAATTTCAACAATTTAGCGAGGACTGAATGCGCTTATATCATAGATGCGTAATATCATCTTGAACCACGCTACGAAATTTAATCTGACCATCTGGATGCTGACATGTGTGGGGCGTTTAAGAGATCAGTTTGCTGGCGACAAGCCTTCTCAAGCAAATATGCATTGCGCCGTGTGCTTGTACTGTACTTAAGTGGCTGTGGAAATGGCAATCAATAACTTCTACTCGGTTTCGTCTTACATACTGAGAACGCGGAAAGTCAACGGGTCAACATAGATTTAGTTGAAATCAAATCGACGAGACATCAGGATATCATTCCGATTAATTTTTTTGTTTTATAAGGGCGCTTTAAATTCTACATTGTTCGTCATAATTTTCCTTGTTAAATCGAAACCAATCGGTACGTTTAGTCAAACGTGCACATGTACACGTGTGAATCGTGTAACGTTATCTCGTGACGTTAATCCGTCCGGTGGAAATCTGGGCGCTGACATGGCAAGCACTTGAGGGATCGGGCTACAAGACAGAAACGTAGAACCGATGAATACTTATCGCATGGTGCGCAAGGCATACTTAAGCGTGTGTTCGAGTGATCGGATTGGGGGATTCGTAGCCTTTGAATCTCGTCTTACGTTTAGCGCCGGAAGAGTCGTGTACGCGAAGAGATACAAGGCGAAATGGCAAAAATAGAAAAGATTCCGTACGCACGAGATACGAATGAGAAGGATGCACATGAACGCACAGCGTTTGCGGATGTCTTCTCGGATTACGCGGTTTTCTAGGCACTCACATCTGCAAACGTTGGACAAGGATGTGTGTAAAGAGCACGTGTAAAGAGCATCGTAATGCACGAATGAGCAACTCCCAAAATTCGTAAAAGGGTGACTTGCGAGGTGAGGTTCGTGTCATAGGCGTCGAATCAAATCGTACATTATTTAAGATATAATTATTGAGCTAATTTAATAATAATAAAATGACGTTAGTTATTAAATAATTTTGTCCAAGGATCAACAGATAAATTTTTTACATAAAGGACAATAATCTTAAATATTAAAGCTTAAATATATAAATCTTAAATATTAAATAATTAAATACTACTTTATATATACATATTGACATCATTGATGATATCACTATCATCTTGATAATGTCACCAATATCGACTTCAATTCGTAAAAAATATTAATATATAAATAAAAACGAAGTTTTCTACCGTTGTTTATGCTGCGAGATATATTCGTTAAAAAAAAAAAAAAAAACAATTAAACAAATAGGAAACTTACGTTGTCTATGCCAATGATCGAACGTGCAAATATATCGGAAGAGTAGGGTGAAACCTTAACCCTATTTAAATCACCGCTTGCTGACTGAATACAGCGATGATTGCGACAGATGCGTGGTCGCGCGTGTCTTTTTGAAAGGGCGTTTTCGCACCCTTCGGCGACGGCGATGCAAACCACTCATTTTGAACCTTTCCCCTCGGTAGGGGCCCTCCATTCACCGTTGAAAAGCGCACAGGTGCGTACCACGGGGTCCCCATTGAGACAGGGGGGGTTCTCTTTCCCGTTCTGTCCGTTCTCTCTTCGTTCCTTCAATGTGCTACGACCAGATGCGTTGGCGATGCAACACTCCCGCGGGCGCAAAACACGAAAGCACCCACTCGCTCGTATTAACGGATGCATCTGGCATCTCGTCGGGGATTGCCAATGAAAGAACGGAAGATAAATTTCATATCGGAGAAGCTAGATTTAATACAACGATACGAGTGACATATTGCTTCCAATTAGGAAACTAGGTCACGTGAAATGAATATTGTGGCACATGAGTAAAATAGGAAATATTACTTGTTGTGAATTAATAAGAAATACATCATAGCTTTATTTTTATTTATTTAAAAAGTTTGCATAACAAGGAAAACATTATTTAATGTTTAATTTAATTTTCCATACATATTATTAATACCCGTTGATATTATTTTTCTCCTGAAAAATTATTTTATTGAGCTTTTTAGGATTGAATCTCGTAGAGATTTGCAATTGAGTATTACCAGGAATAAACGCGAAAAGAAATAATTGCGTGCAAGCACTTTGTAACCCTGACAGTTTCGCAAGTTTATCGTATCAATTATCATGCGTTCTAGATTCCAGAATAAAATGTTGCGCGAAACACAACTGTTGTAAATGTTCTTGTCAGTCTCACCGATGTACGCTCGGTGCGTTATCCTGCCAATTAAACATCAAGCCTGTTGAAGCCGTGCAAGTCTGTTGAAGCGTACATACTGCACGGTAACCCGATCAAAGGTAAAGCTATTTTCCTTGCACCTCCCCTGGACGGGAGGAGGCATTGCCGTTGGCCACGTAATATCTAGTGATTCCGTCCGCCGATCGTATCGAGCGCTGAACATTCCCCGCGGCAGCAAACGGGAGCTACGGTTAGCTCTGCTATGCGAAAGTGCACCTTTGGATGTCGCGTGTCGCAACCATGTCGTGCCTGCGTCGTACACACGTGGATATCATTAACCGTTAAGATATACGCTAGGGTGACGAAGAATTAATTAGCGAATTACGCTTTCCGGCGTTGGAAACTGGAAACTGATAATTAAATCAACGAGATACCGCGAGATGCTCCGTTTCATTTTCTTCGTGGAATATCCATGGATAAGTACCGACCGGATACACATACAAATAATAATACAAGCGAAACGAAAGTTGAATTTTATTACTAATGTAAACGCGCGAGATTGGTATCGCGTGTGAGATTCCTTCAATATTCGTGATCGTTCCGAGCACGTGCGTATCTCGAGACCTCGTGACGCAAGGTGTCGCAGACACCTGCGTGCTGCTCCACAATCATCTTATGAAAGGACACGAAGACCCTCATTACGCCTCCCACGTGACATCTGCCAGAATGGCCACGTTACCTCTCGAACTGATCGCGGTACAAACGTACGCAGTCACTATCGAGTTGTATGTTCACTTGATTCTGGCTTTCCTTTTCCCGCTCCCGTATGCGAGAGCTCAAGTGTGTTAACGTTCCCGCTCTTTCTCCCTCTACATCCCTCGAGTAAAATGCACCTGTAGGCTATTCGGCGCAGAGACGGATATTAATATCCGTTTCGCAGACAGAGAATTTTTGGCAGACCGACAGTCAAAGAGGTATGCCACACGAAAGGTCTTTCCCGTTACGCGAAGGAATGCGTAACATACATATATTACTTAAAAAAAACTGGCAAACACTTTGTGAGCGAAATTATTCCGCATAGTCCGAGAAGCTTGAAACTTGACTCCTTTCGGTCAACTGAAAACGCAAAACCGCTATTGTGTCAATAAACGAACGATGGAATTTGATAAATATGTGACTTCTCTTCATTATACATTACGTAATATATTACTGAATAAATAAAAGTTAATATCTGGAGACAGCGAATTAATTTTTTATAAAATAGATAATAGATATCTCAAGTATCTCGGAATTTGAAAATGACGTTCGTAGATCATCTTTTTTTGTAGTATATATAAAAGCGTTAAATTTTATTATTTTTTTCGCGTAAAACTCCCGTCTCTGCATTGAAAGGGCAGCACGCTCACGCCCGTACGGTAGACGCACGCATAACAACGTGTACTTATGGGCACCTCGCTGGCGCAGGTTGGCTTTGGAGTAACCCGATAATCGGCATATCCACCGAAGAGCCCGGTGCGCCTATTAAGCTCCAATAACGACACGTAATAGCTCTGGTGTTGCTGCGTCCACTACGATGGCGATCGTGGCGTGCTGCGGGAGAGTGTGAGAAGAGTGTGCGCATTGAGAGAGCGCCGCGAGAGAGAGTCGCGAGAGAGCTCGTTGCATAGCGTGACTAAGCCCGCGGATGCGAGCTGATGACGCCTCGGGAAGAGCTGGCCCCCCCCGAAGACCCCCCCCCCTCCCTCCCACCCCCTCGCGCCCTCCGCGTGTCCGCGCACTCTTTGGAATTCCACGGAATTCTGGCGTTGCTGTGGTCGTAGCGCCACACGGATTCCCCTACCCTCCCTCTTCCCTCGTTGCGAGGGCCCGAGGGTCTGACCGGGCCACCCTGAAATTATGTGGTGCCCGTCAATTAAAAAGAGTGACCGGCGGCGGCCTCCTCGCCTTTCCTCGTCGTTGACCGTATCCTTCCTCTTTTGTGTCCGCCTGCGATTCATATCGGACGCGGTACCCTCTTCTTACCGAAGAATGTTCGGGACGAACGAGGAGGCGATTTTTATACAGTTTTTGTCAGCCTTCCCGTGAAACGCGATGCTGAATACAAGAATGGAAGCGCAGAATCGACAATTTGATTGAGGTGTTTGAAGCAATAACACGTTAAACCGCGCGAAAGATGTCCGTGCGCCTTTGGTTGGTTCTTCATTTATACACAGATTTGATTATAGCTTAAGATAATTTTCTGCATTCTGCACTTGAACTTGAACTGTAATATATTACCGACTACGGTTTTAAAGGAGTTTTAAAAGAGTTATCGGAAAAAAGAACACCAAGTTCTAGTGATGATGATTCGTAAGCTTTCGCTTATTGTAATGCGTGAGACTGTAACATTGAAAATTGAACAAGCCGAAAGATGTATCGATCGGAATTCTTGGAAAATTCAACTCTTTAACTTTCTACGTAATGACAACGGCTCCTGCACTTCTCGGTGAGGGAACGGAAAATTGAGACGTCCGACGCCTACGTCCACGCGCGCCTCGTGTCTCTTGTGTCGTGCGGAACGTGTATATACGACTCATGGCGGAAGGCACGGCACGGCACGG